GTCAATAATTTATTTCGATTTCAAATTTGTGCATGTTGTGTCTGCTCCATTTCATGGCAGGGGCAAGATTATAAAATACCTCTCTGACTTTCTGCAGCATGATGTCAGCTCTTCATGACTAATTCACATCGTCATTAATTTTGAGACGGTTTAAATCCACCCCTTGGATTTGACTTTGATCTTACAGAACAAAGAGAAGGCATTTTACTTCCTTCAGGAGACGTAGCTTTAAAGCAACTGCATTTTGATATTTAGTGACATTCTCTTCCATATCTGCAGGGTTTACCAGGAAGCCCAGGTCCAAAAGGTGGAGCTGGAGAGAAGGTGAGAGATGCTGCTGAATTTATGTGTGTTCGGTGCAAAGTCATCACATTTTTTAACACCCTGAACTGACAAAAGCTTTTATCAGGACAATGACGCAAAAATAATTTTCCATATGTTTCAGAACCACTGACTGTTAAAGCTGAAACTACTATTTTTTTATTTTTAAATATTTTCTCCCATCCCAGTTTGCTATTCAGAGACTAACTAACTAACTATCTAACTAAATATGTAGGTTGGTTTTAGCATTTTGCCAATATTAACATTCTGGTTGATACACACTCCCATTATTTTAATGTTATGGCTGATAAATAAAAAAATGGCCAATATTAAAATCTATACTATTTTGTCTAAAGAAATTAACAACAAAACACTAAAAACAAAATCAATCAGTTGCTAGTGAATTTAGGCATCAAAAAAATTATAATGTGTAGTATGAAAAATGGATATTAATTTTGATATTTGCTGAAGATTACATTTAACAGTGTTATTTTATAATTAAAATTATTCGTTTTTTTTTTTTAAGATTTAAAGATTACTGTTATTAAGAATATAGATTTTAAGGTAAATTCTAAAAGTAAAAATCTTTTTTTCTTTTTCTTGAAAAGTGTAATACTGTTGCTTATTATGAACACTGTGTGATATACTCTCTTACAGGGTAATGCTGGACAATCAGGACTCATTGGTACTATGGGATCTGAAGGTAAAGCGGTAGGTAAACCACCCAATAGCTAATTACAGATCTGTAATTATTGTGCAGGAACAGATTGTCTGACAGTAAATGTCTCTGTTCAGGGTGAGCGTGGAGAACAAGGAGAAGTCGGACCCATTGGGTCTATTGGACAGCCTGTAAGTACCCAAAGCAGTATGACTAATGGCTAATAGACAGGCTGGATGTGTCTGTATTTACTCACCAAGGAATATTTAGCAGATGATGATAGTTTCCTTGTGTTTAGGGAGAACGGGGAGAACAGGGGCCACCTGGGCCGATGGGAAAACCAGGAGCCAGAGTAAGTGCATAATCTGAATAATGATATGGTTGTGCTATCAAAGCAAGCATCTGCCGTACTGTCATCATGCAAATTGATGAACAAAGTAAAAACCTTTGCCTGTAGAGAAATGGGTGTCCTTAGGTTGCGCAGAGGTTTCTCTTTTATGGCTCAGCATAACATGTTCAAGTATGAACCCTGCTTCAGATGTTCCTCCTAAAAAAGAAATAAAAATAGACACAAATTATAACAAATGTTGGCTAGCTATACAATTAATGTGGATGGTATAGTTCAGATTATTTGCTCCTGGTAGAGTTTAATGAGAAATGTTTGAGTTCAAAATTGAAATCTCAGATTTTATGTACAGAAATATCCAAGAAGCAGGTGATTTTCAGGTTTCATTTGTCTTAATTTGTTCTCCATTTTGTCTACACTGCAAAAATAATTAATCTTAATTAGTATTGTATGCCTTTTGTCCAGAACAAATATCATAACATCCTTAAATCATGTTCATTTTGACTGCAATGCGAAATAGTATTTTTTTTTTCATATATATATATATATTTTTTACATCATTGGCAAATTGTTGTTTCTTGTTTTAAGCATAAAATATACTAAACTTATTTATGTATTTATTTATAAAGAGGAAAATAATCTCTCACAGTTTTGCTTGACAAGTAAATTCATCTTGTTTGAAGGATGTTTAGATAGTTAGTTACTGGAAAATGAGACAAACATAATGAAAAGAAAATGATTTTGTGCTGTGTTGGAGAAACTACATTAAAGAGATCTCATTTGCATTTTTTTTTCCTATAAGCTGGCAGCAAACCCAGAGTTCAAAACAAGTCATAGGCAGCGCTACATTTACATTATTCTATTATCCCAGTGTTCAAAGAGAAAACAAGTCATTTTGACATCCACTAAGCTCGATCGCTTTTACTTATTTAGACCGTCTGGTGCGCAGTGAATTCAAAAACTTTTCACTAATAGTCTTTTAGGGGAATTTGTGACTTTATATTGTGGTAATTTGAAGGTCCAACCAAGGTTTTAAGGATAAACTCACCTATTTTCTTTCTTTTTATCCGAAAACAAGACTTTATATGTTCAATTTTCATCCTAAGTGAATGTATCGTGATTTAAGGATGCTTAGATATTTATATTAAAAAACAAAACAAAAGTACTAAGAAAGATTTTGTTTTGACCTTTTTAGAACTTAATTTGTGGAAGGGCACATTAAGACTTAAGACCTTTTTCAGACCCACAGAATATCATTTTATGACACTTTATGAACTTTGAAATGCATTGTTTACAAACATATGCTCAAAATGTACATTTATATATTCCAGTTCATAAATATATATTAAAAATTTAACTATATATTCAGATTTATAGCTAATTATTCAGCTGTAATAATGTATATACAGTGGTGTGAAAAAGTTTTTGCCCCCTTCCTGTTTTTTTAATTGTTTGCATATTTGTCACACTTAAAAGATTCAGATCATCAAACAAATTTTAATATTACACAAAGATAACCTGAGTAAATACAAACTGCAGTTTTGAAATTATGATTTCATTTATTAAGGGAAAAAAGCTGTCCAAACCTGCCTGGCACTACGTGAAAAAGTAATTGCCCCCTAAATCTAATAACTGGTTGTGCCACCCTTTGCAGCAACAACTGCAATCAAGCGTTTGCGATAAATGGCAATGAGTCTTTCACAGGAATTTTGGCCCACTCTTCTTTGCAGAATTGTTTTCATTCAGCCACATTGGAGGGTTTTTGAGCATGAATGGACTGTTTAAGGTCATGCCACAGCATCTCAATCGGATTTAAGTCTGGACTTTGACTTGGCCATTCCAAAACCTTCATTTTGTTTTTCTTGAGCCATTCAAAGGTGGACTTGCTGGTGTGTTTTGGATCATTGTCCTGCTGCATAAACCAAGTGCGCTTGAGCTTGAGGTCACAAACTGACGGCCGGACATTCTCCTTCAGGATTTTCTGATAGAGAGCAGAATTCAAAGCAGCCCCAGACCATCACACTACCACCACCATGTTTGACTGTTGGTATGATGTTCTTTTTATGAAATGCTGTGTTGGTTTTACGCCAGATGTAACGGGACACACACCTTCCACAAAGTTCAACTTTTGTCTCATCAGTCCACAGAATATTTGCCCAAAAGTCTTGGGGATAAACAAGATATTTTTTGGCAAATGTGAGACAAGTCTTTGTGTTCTTTTTGGTCAGCAATGGCTTTTGCCTTGGAACTCTCCCATGGATGCTGTTTTTGCCCAGTCTCTTTCTTATTGTTGAATCATGAACACTGACCTTAATTGAGGCAAGTGAGGCCTGCAGTTCTTTAGATGTTGTTCTGGGTTCTTTTATGACCTCTTGGATGAGTCGTCGTTGTGCTGTTGGAGTAATTTTGGTAGGCCGGCCACTCCTGGGAAGGTTCACCACTGTTCCAAGCTTTCTCCATTTGTGGATAATGGCTCTGACCGTGGTTCGCTGGAGTCCCAAAGCCTTAGAAATGGCTTTATAATCCTTTCCAGACTGATACATGTCAACTGTTTTGATTCTCATCTGTTCTTGAATTTCTTTAGATCGCGGCATGATGTGTTGCTCTTTAAGCATGCTTCACTTTGTCAGACAGGTTCTATTTAAGTGATTTCTTGATTCAACAGGTCTGACAGTAATCAAGCCTGGGTGTGGCTAGTGAAATTTAACTCAGCTTTCTAAAATAATGTGGTTAATTGCAGTTCTTTCATGATTAAACAGGAGGGGGCAATTCATTTTTCACGTAGGGCCACGTAGGTTTGGACAGCTTTTTTCCCTTAATAAATGAAATCATCATTTAAAAACTGCATTTTGTATTTACTTGCATTATCTTTGTGTAATATTTAAATTTGTTTGATGATCTGAAACATTAAAGTGTGACAAACATGCAAAAAAATAAGAAATCAGGAAGGGGGCCAACACTTTTTCACACCACTGTATGTATTGTAGATGAACTCACATTAAACATTTCAGTTTAGATGAACTGCATGTCGTAGGTCAATTTCAAATGAGCATGAAATTATCAATTGCTCAGGAGTAAGAATACGTAATACACAAACCCAGGAGTAAGAAAACACAAATACCAGCCCAGATGAGAACGGACAATGGAACTGAGGAAACTGAGGGTTTAAAGGGGTCATATGATGCGATTTCTATTTGTCCTTTTCTTTAGTGTGTTATGTAGCTATTTGTGCATGTATAAGATCTGCAGAGTTACAAAGCTCAAAGTCTCCCACAAAAGGATTTATTCTATCTAAAAGAGAAGGCTGATCCAGACGGGGCTAAAATGCCTCATTCAAACACACCCCCACATGTCTATGTCACAATGTGGAAATATTTGCGTAATGCCGCCCAAATGTTCATGCAAAGTAAGAAGGCTGGGTTTCAGGAACCGCAGTAGTGTTGATGCAGCCATGTCAGGGAGACGCTGTGTGTTTCTGTGCGAAAGCAGAAGCACTATTTGGCCTTCCGAAAGTAGATGCAATGAGGAATCATTGGTTAAGATTTATTTACAACAGAACAGCACAACCCAGATGTTCGAATTTGTGCAACGCATTTTATGGACGACAGTTTTGTGAACCTAGGAGAGGTTAGCTTTCAACTTTCAAGGCTACAAACTTTGCACCCTACAAGGC